GTTCTGTTGTGCATAAGGTCACTATGACCATCTCGATGGCACCTACCCACAACAATATACTTGACTCTTGTTTTCCGTCTTAGTTGGTTCAGATCTTGAACAGGGAAGTAACATGCTATTAATTGGGCCCCTCAGAGATCCCTACCGAAGCATCAGTTTATAACAGCACTTGGGTCACAAGGGGATTAAAAGGGAATTGGCAGCACATATTTTTCAGCAAAAAAAAAACGAGTCAGTGAACTTAATTGTTTCAAAAATCAGTATAAAATTCTGTTGATTTTCCTAACGAAAAATTGACCTTCATCAATTTTGGTTGAAGTGGTTCCTACTTTAATTTTGATGCTTGCTTTTGTAATAAATACTATAATTATAAATGAACAAATGAAAATGTGTCATAAAAGAAAATGTCATGATCAGAAATTAAATATTACAACAAATACTATATTTAATTTTGGATAGATCTCTCATCTCTAACATGTTATAATTAAAAATGTTTCTTTCTATTCTTTGCTCTGACAACTTCTCCAATGATTTTATCACAATTAAACTGCTGAACAATACCTACTTCCATTCATAAGGAAAATTAATTAAGTTTTCCTGTAAAAAAAAGCGGGGCGGGTGGGGGGGGGGGAATCGGTAGGGCTCAGGCTTACCTCTGTGGCTCTGAACAATGCATGTACCAAGAGGTCTCCCCTTGTCCCAGGGCACCAGCCTGTACAGCTGAGCTGGAGCAGATGCCGAGTCGGTAAGCAGGGCAGTCTGTGACTGTGATTTCCCAGTAATGCTGGCCACAGGCTGGCAGTTCCTCACCAAGCACTGATGGGATTCTGTAGGCAAAATTAATTGGATTAAGTTTAGCAAATATCCCAAATTCACATACAGTTTAGGCAGAGTCCTTGCCTTGGAATATGCTGGAATTTGACAAAAGACATTTTTGTTCATTGGGTCCTCAACTTTTCTGACCTGATCACCACAGAATTCTCCAAACCCTCACCATACATTTGATAGATGTGGTGCTGTAGGAATAAGCACTTTACTGTGAATCAAACCTACCAGTTGCTCCTTGGAAACTCTATACAGGGTTTCTATGAGTCAGAATCAATTTGACAACCCTTAACAACACTGCCTCTTATAATTAATCTACTTAGTAGAGGCTTGTGGTCAACAGTCTTCTGGCACCTGGCCTCTTTGGATTGAAGTAGGTGCACCTGAGAGGTTGCTTAGCTGTCTCTTTTTGTTTCACCTTAGCTATTTTTATAACTGTCAAGGTGAAATGAACTAAAAAACCTTCACTTGCTGATGGGTAAGTGACCATGTTTACACAAGGTGCTCAGTTTTGCTTTGAAAAGGCTGAGACAGCAAGGAAGTATTTTTAATTTAAGCAGCATTAGCGTAGTGGTTACGAATCGGGCTGCGAACCTTAAGGTCAGCAGTTCGAAACTACCAGCCGCTCCG